TGTTTCATTTTTTAGTAAAATGTTTTGGCCAAGCATTATTGAGCCATTTTCAGAGAACATAAAATTACACTTTCCAATTTATCTGACATACCAGAACACTGGCACATTGTTGCATACATAGTTGTATACAGGAGTTTCTTTCCTAAAATGAAATGTGAGAGAATTCTAAAATTTCAACTTCTAATTAATGCTACTTTTATTTAAAAATACGTAGTCCTCCAGCCTTCCCTTTTCCTGGTTTTGAAAAGAGCTACTTCAGTCACTCATATTCAATGATTGCATCATATAAATGTAATGCAGTTGGCCCTTGATAGCCCTGGTTTCTGCATCCCATGTACTCAATCAACCACAGGTCAGAAATACAAAAAAGAAAAAAAAAGTCTGTTTTGATTATGTGAAGACTTTTTTCTTGTCATTGATCCCTAAGCAGTGGTTTGTGGTTTATAAAAATATTAAAATAACCAGGCGTGGTGGCGCACACCTTTAATCCCAGCACTAGGGAGGCAGAAGTAGGCGGATCTCTGTGAGTTCAAGGCCAGCCTGGTCTCAATAGTGAATCCAGGACAGCTGGGGCTACAGGGAGACCCTGTCTCAAAAAGACCAAAAAAAAAAAAAAAAAAATTAAGATAGCATTTACATTCTGTTAGACTCATACTAATTCAGAGGTGGTTTGTACAGTAATATAGACATGGTTTATATGGAAATACTACACCAGTTTATATAAGGAACTTGGGCTTCCCTGGATTTTGATATCTAAGAAGGTATCTGGAATCATTCACACAAACATCTCAAGGGATACCTGTAATCTGTGTGTGTTAGCGCTCCGTTACTATGACAGCTACCTAAGATAATTTGGCTCACAGATGCAGAGGTATCCATCCACTGTAATTTGGTTTATTGTTTGGGGGTCTGTAGTCAAGCATTATGTTACACTAAAGGAAGTGCTTACCTCATGGTGGTCTGGACGTGAAAGAGAAACAGGAAGGGACTAGGTTCTCATTATCCCCTCTTCTAGTTGGCCTCACCGCCTAACTTTACACCACTTCCCTATAGCTCCACAGCCTAGGGACTGAACCTTCTACACATGGGCCTTTGAGGGAATTCAGGATTTCAACCAAAATGTTGCTAGATGTCAACTAATTACAAATGTGCTTTAAAAACTCTTGTATTTATTAAAGTACCTCTTCATTCATCATTAGTGAAGAGGGATGGTGCCCTCCAATTATAATGCTCATGAGGAAAAAGCCAAAGGGAACTAGATAAAATATTTACCTTTGTGCCAGATGTGCTTATGATGACCAAACGTGAAGGTTCATTTTAATCACAGTAATGTACACTCTGTTACACAAAATTCAAAGCAAATTCTTCAGCTTATCTGGAAATACTATCTTGTATGTCTCCAGGAAGAAGTCTTAATCCTGCCAGGACTGAGGGAATGGATTAGGGAAAAGACAAAGCAAATAGCAAGAGCTCTGCCCTTAGGACATTTTTCCTTTAATCTGAAAGAATCTGATCTTTATCGTGTGAGTTCTTAGGTGCAGGAATCTTGTCTTTAGTTTTATCCTCAAAAATATAGAAAGTGCATTATAAAGACAGTTTATATAAATATGCTTTCTGTGTAGACAGTGGGATTAGAAGCTGTAGATAAGAATACTGGGGACCTTGCCCTGATGAGAACAAAAGAAAATACACTTGTAATACAAAAATAGCATGTCTTACTTTCTGCCCTCAGGCACCTAATGAGCTATATAGAAAGGAAATGCAAAAGCTAAAGAGGCATGGCTATTTTCAGACTCGGGCACCCTTAAGTCTTATTGGAGCTTAAGTGGATAATAGTTTCAAGAAGGGCAAAAAAGATTGTTCTTTCAAGCAAAAAGATATCATGAGTAGAGACACAGTGCTGAAACATGCAAGGTAATTTATTCAGAGAGCATAAATGAGTCAAAGTTTAATGAAGACAAATGTGATGAGATACATTTAATTGCAGTCAGTTACTAATTTGGAAAATATTGAATGGTAAACAGTAAGGTTAAATTAGTGAGGTTTTGATTAATAAATCTGTGAAGCTGTGTGTGCAGTACTATAGGTTTTTTTTTTTCAGTTTGTGTTTGTGTGTGTGTGTGTATGTATGTGCGCATATGCATGTATGCATGATGTGCATGTGTGGATTGCATGTGCCATGGAGTACATGTGGAAATCAGAGGACAACTTTGTGGAGTTGGTTCTCCTTCCACCTTTACATGGGTTTCTAGAGACTGAATTCAGGTTACCAGGCTCACATAGTAAACGCTTTTACCTTCTGAGCCATCTCACCGGCCCGAATGCTATATTTTAAAAATAAGATAGAGAAAGGAAAGGGTAAAGGCAGAGTTCTAGAGTACCTAAAAATGGAGGAGATAATTCCCCATTAACTTACTATATGCTTACAGATCACAGGCCCATCAATCCCACCCAGATACGGAAGTAGAATGAAGTAATCTAGAAAAAGAACTGCAGCCAGCCGTCAGAGGATTTCTTATAGGTGCCGCTGATTAAAAAAAAAAAAAAACAAGCAAAAAAAACCCCCAAAAAACCCACAGACCCTTCTGTCCGTGGTGTGCCCCTACACTGGCTCTCCAGTAGGTTCTTTTGTGCTCTCTGTGATCTGATCATCAGCTATAGTTCATCCTCAAAGGACCAAGAGTAGTTCCTCAGGGCCAGTTGTGGCAATAGGCTGTTGACTTCTTTGGGGTTACAGCTCCATGCCTTCCTGTTAATGACTTCCTCTTTAACAGAGGAAAAGTAACTTTTCTTTCATTCTTAAAGCTGAAAGGAAATTCCTTTGTGAGGCAGTTTTCTTTTGAATGCCACTTCATCAGTGGTAATGACTGCTAAATCGTTTTTGGGTTTGATTACAAGGGAAGGGTTTTAAAGTGGCTGCCTAAAGTTGTTGGAGCCATCTTCAGGTAGGTGTAAGAGAAGATGCAGAAAGAAATAATGGAGGTAGAACACACACTTAGGCCTTCTAAGTTTGTTAACACTTAGCTCCATGTTTGTTAACAGCTAACCACAAAGAGAGGAAGAGATAAGACAAACTACAGCCAGATATTTTGATCATAAATTTGCAGAGGTATTCACTCTGCCTCATGAAACATTTTAAAATAGAATTTGTTGGGAAAACATGAGGTTGTTATGTCATCATTTAATGACACTCCACTAATTCTGTAATAGCATCTCTACATGTGTAGCACTAATAATTATGTCAAGATATTATATATCTTTGGGACTATATATGTATGTATCTAGAAATTATATGCATGTGAGACCACTGATTTAAGTGCTTAACAAATCCATTTGCCATCTTCTGTTTATAGCTTCTAGTTACTATACAGTGAAAACAGCCATTTCTGTAATAAAATAGTTTCTCTAACTGAAGAAACTTTTTAAAATGGGATTTCTTAATTGTAACTAATAAAAAATTCAACATCTAATAATTTTATATTCTTCCTTTTTTCATACCAGGAATCTTTAAGAATATGATAAGCAAACCTGATGAAAAGGTAGAGGCCATTGCTTTAGAAATCCAGTCTGATATATTACTTATCTTATCAGGTCTTTGTGAACATCATAGTCAAAGGAAGGTATGTAATGTCTGTAAATAAAAATTTCAGATCTCCCAATCACCTAACATTATAAACTCCTTTAAGTGCCCATAAATGTTTTTTCCTTGTTTCTAGTCTGGTAAAATTTGAGCTGGTGAGATGGTTCAGTGAGTAAAGGCACTTTCGGGACCCCCATGGGAGAAGGAAAAATTGACCTCTGACCTCCATATGCATGCCCACATATAATACACATGTACACACTGAATAAATGAATAAATAATTTTTAAAACCTAACCTTGTACAATTTAATTTTTTATAATTAGAGTGTAATTACATATAGTAAAATGTACAGACCTTGAAAAATAGTTTAATAGGTTTTGATGAGTATGTTTAACCAATACTTTACCAATATACCAATTAGAACATGTAATATACTTCTCCTTATGCATTCTTTTTTTTTATATATATAAGTGGTTGCTTGCATGTCCGTAAGTGTACCTGTGTGTACTATGCCTGCAGAGGCCAGAAGAGGGTGATGGATCCACTGTAACTGGAGTTACAGATGGTTGTTAGCTACTATGTAGGTGCTGGGAACCAAACCCAGGTCCTTTCCTAGAACAGCCAGTGCTCTTAACCACTTAATCATCTCTCTAACCCTCTGCCTCCTGAGTTCTGGGATTAAAGGTACACACCAAAATACCCAGCTCCTATACATTCTTATATGCTTGTAACATTTCCTCATCTGCTTAGCCACAGCCCCACCCATCTATACATTGGTTTTGATTATTTATATAAATTAAATCACACTGTATTTGCTTTTTTAATGTATGTTTTTGTTACCAGAAGGAAATAATAGCTATTTTTGAAATATATTTATATTGTTGCATTTATCAATAGTTCATTCCTTTATATTACTCTCAGAATTTTCAGTATGAATCTACCAAAAATCTGTTTATCCATTACCTTATTGATAGACATTGATATTGCTTGGAGTTTAAACTGTCTTTATATCAAAATCTGAAAGTTAGAACAAGAATTTAATACCCTTTGATTTTTTTGTTGTTGGTGTTCTGAAGTAAACTCTTGAGTGTCCTAAATTAGCAACTTAGATAGGAGGAGATAGAATTAGAAAAACAAAAAGTATGAAGATTTAGGTATATAGATTTTAAGGAGAGGCAAGAGGAAGAAGGCGTATAGGGTTAGTTCCAAGCCCTGGCATATAATTTATTATACTTTCCTATCCTGTCTGCTTTCCTGGTAAAATAATCATAATCTTACTGGAAACGAGACCAGAACAACAAGGCAGTGAGCAAGATAATTAGTAAGGGGAAAAATTCATTGGTAATGATTTCACATAAACTGTTCAGGCTAAATTATAATTTATCCACGTATTTCACTCTTGAGAGCATTATAAAATCTTCTGTAATAGTTGTTGATGACTGGTATTCATTTGATAAGACTCTAGATTGCATGCATTTTAACATGGAAGAAATCAAGGGCAGGTCTTACACGGTTTATATTTTTCAAAAAGAAAAATTATGAAGGAACATTAAGTTGGTACATTGATTGATACCCTCTCTTAAAGTGATTCGTTTTATAATAATTTGCTTTAAAGTACTGAAAATGAGTGAGTACAAGTTTTTTTGGTCTTTTTGAGACAGGGTCTCCCTGTAGCCCCAGCTGTCCTGGAACTCACTATGTAGACCAGGCTGGCCTTGAACTCACAGAGATCCACCTGCCTCTGCCTCCCTAGTGCTGGGATTAAAGGCATTTACCACCACACCTGGCTGTGAGTACAATTTTTAATTGTATTTAAAAAAGCTAATTTCTAAACTGTGCCATTAACAATACCTTGGTAGAAAAATAGCTTTAAAGAGACAAGATGAAATAGATAAGAAAGCAATTTTATTTTAATTTCAAGTAGTAATTTTAAACAAATACCTTCAACAGGAAATTTTTGGTACTAAAGGAGTAGATATAGTTCTTCAAGTAATGAAAACAGACCCCAAGAAGTTACAGAGTGGCTTGGGCTATAATGTCCTTCTTTTCAGCACATTAGACAGCATTTGGTGAGTATTACTATAATCAACTGAACACCGCTTCATTATGAGAAAATTAAATTGATGGCTACCAACTTTCTTCCCTCAGAACTACACTAGAGAGGTTAGGTGACCTGAAAATGAGTTTGGAAAGTAACCATGACCATCACTTATGTAAAAAGCCACACCTATCTAAACCTAACTCCTTGTGATTTGATTCCATTCCACTTTGGTGTCATCTAGGTAAAACATAAGCATCCCCTTTCCTTATGCAGTATTATCCTTCTACCTGGACTCTTTCTAGGCTCTCTGCTTTGCTCCATTGATCATTTGTCCTTCTATAATATTGTATTGCTTTAATAGTTTTATCTTTTAAATAAGTCGGTGTATTTGGTGCAATAATTTTTCTCTTTCCTTGTCCTTTTTCTTGGCTATTGTTTACCACTTAAGACACATTAAATGTCAAAATTCTCCAGAGAAAATCAACAGAAGTTATGAGGAAAGAAATATTTATTATAAGAATGACTCAGTTGCGAATTTTGAAAAGTTCCAAGCTATAAAAATTCAGCAAACTAAACACCTGTCTTAGTTTTCTTTTCAGTTTCTATGACAAAAATACTCTGACAAAAGCAACTTAAGGAAGAAAGAGTGTATTTTAGCTTCCAATTCCATGTAACGGTCAGTCACTAAGAGGAAGTCAAGATGGCAGGAACTTGAAGCGGCTAGTCACAGTGCACCCACAGTTAAGAGCAGAGGAAGTATAAATGCCTGCATGTTGTGCTCAGCTGCTTGTTCCCCTTTATGTAGTTCAGTGTCCTCTGTCCAAGGATGTGCCGCCCAGTGGACAAGGGAACCAGAATTCTGTTCCCAGCACCCAAGTTAGGCAGCTAACAATACCTTGTAAGTCTAGCTCCAGGAGATCCAACACCACACACACATACACACACACACACACACACACACACACACACACACACACACACACACAGTAGTACATAATAAACATAAATCTTTAAAAAATAGTTGAAATTAAACTATACTGATAAGCCTTTTACAGCATTCTGATTTTTAAAGTAAAAGCAAATTGGCTACTAGATTTAGAGGAATGAAGAAAAGCTGTTGCCTGGAATGCCTTGATAGAAAGAAAGGTCTACAATTAACTTTTAGCAATCAATGTTTTTTGAATGACCAGCTTTCTTTTAATTTAAGGTGCTGTATTTTGGGATGTTATTCGTCAGAGGATTACTTTCTTGAAAAGGAAGGCATTTTTCTCCTTTTGGATGTGTTGTCAGTAAGTAACATTTTACAGCCATTGTAACACAAAAGATTAATATGCCTTTAATAACCATTTCCAAACCAGTACCAGAGAGCAGTATTTTGTGAATAAATGTGCCTCCCAATCATGTTCAAATGTATTGTTTTAAGGAAAATCCCCCCCTGGAGATTCATAAAACAATAACATATCAAAGATTCTGAAAATCCCTGTAATAAAGGAATCAGTTTACTAAGGTCAGTGTTCTCAAATACACGTAAGCAGACTTTGGGTTTTTCTTTCTTTTTTTTTTTCTTTTTAATTATTTATTTAATAACCACATACTTAGAAGAAGCATTTCATTACAACTGCATTGACATATTCAATAACATTTTTCTGAGCTACGGTACATCTCTTTCAAAATTGGCTGTATATTTTTAGGTTTACAGATGAATTATTACGCTTGTACAGTCTTTTACTCATTATAAACTCTATAAGAATAAGACATAATGAGGTTTTAACCTTTAAGATCTCCATTTCATTATTAAAATACAAATTTTCATGCAGAAAAATTCATTTTAATGCAATTAACACTAAGATGTTTGCACGTGCATTTCTAATCTCTATATCTGATTATTATCTGATTATTATCTGACATCTAGTCACAGTCAGTTATTTCTGAGTTCCTTGGCATCTGAGCATGAATATAAAGTCATCAGGTAGA